ACTCTTATTATAATCTGTAAGTTTCATTGAAATCGGTTGATAATTGTGGTCTGTAGCCGTGCCACATGAAATGTGTGGTAACCTGATATCTCGGAAACCGCTAACCGGAAGTGGCCGAAATTTTGGCTAGTTTGAGATATTATTAATGTTATTATAATCTGTAAGCTTCGTTAAAATCGGTTGATAATTGTGGTCTGTAGCTGTGCCACATGAAATGTGTGGTAACCTGATATCTCGGACACCGCTAACTGAAAGTGGTCGAAATTTTGGCTTGTTTGAGCTCTTAATACTCTTATTATAATCTGTAAGTTTCATTGAAATCGGTTGATAATTGTGGTCTGTAGCCGTGCCACATGAAATGTGTGGTAACCTGATATCTCGTAAACCGCTAACCGGAAGTGGCCGAAATTTTGGCTAGTTTGAGCTCTTAATACTCTTATTATAATCTGTAAGTTTCATTGAAATCGGTTGATAATTGTGGTCTGTAGCCGTGCCACATGAAATGTGTGGTAACCTGATATCTCGTAAACCGCTAACCGGAAGTGGCCGAAATTTTGGCTAGTTTGAGATATTAATACTCTTATTATAATCTGTAAGTTTCATTGAAATCGGTAAATAATTGTGGTCTGTAGCCGTGCCACATGAAATGTGTGGTAACCTGATATCTCGGAAACCGCTAACCGGAAGTGGCCGAAATTTTGGCTAGTTTGAGCTCTTAATACTCTTATTATAATCTGTAAGTTTCATTGAAATCGGTTGATTATTGTGGTCTGTAGCCGTGCCACATGAAATGTGTGGTAACCTGATATCTCGGAAACCGTTAACCGGAAGTGGCCGAAATTTTGGCTAGTTTGAGATATTAATACTCTTATTATAATCTGTAAGTTTCATTGAAATCGGTTGATAATTGTGGTCTGTAGCCGTGCCACATGAAATGTGTGGTAACCTGATATCTCGGAAACCGCTAACCGGAAGTGGCCGAAATTTTGGCTAGTTTGAGATATTATTAATGTTATTATAATCTGTAAGTTTCGTTAAAATCGGTTGATAATTGTGGTCTGTAGCCGTGCCACATGAAATGTGTGGTAACCTGATATCTCGGAAACCGCTAACCGGAAGTGGCCGAAATTTTGGCTAGTTTGAGATATTAATACTCTTATTATAATCTCTAAGTTTCATTGAAATCGGTTGATAATTGTGGTCTGTAGCCGTGCCACATGAAATGTGTGGTAACCTGATATCTCGTAAACCGCTAACCGGAAGTGGCCGAAATTTTGGCTAGTTTGAGCTCTTAATACTCTTATTATAATCTGTAAGTTTCATTGAAATCGGTTGATAATTGTGGTCTGTAGCCGTGCCACATGAAATGTGTGGTAACCTGATATCTCGTAAACCGCTAACCGGAAGTGGCCGAAATTTTGGCTAGTTTGAGCTCTTAATACTCTTATTATAATCTGTAAGTTTCATTGAAATCGGTTGATAATTGTGGTCTGTAGCCGTGCCACATGAAATGTGTGGTAACCTGATATCTCGTAAACCGCTAACCGGAAGTGGCCGAAATTTTGGCTAGTTTGAGCTCTTAATACTCTTATTATAATCTGTAAGTTTCATTGAAATCGGTTGATAATTATGGTCTGTAGCCGTGCCACATGAAATGTGTGGTAACCTAATATCTCGGAAACCGTTAACCGGAAGTGGCCGAAAGCTAGTTTGAGATATTAATACTCTTATTATAATCTGTAAGTTTCATTGAAATCGGTTGATAATTGTGGTCTGTAGCCGTGCCACATGAAATAAGACTTGTCACATGTGGCAAATAGTCTCCGGATTGTCTTACCACATGTGGCAAATAGCCCCAGCCTTCATGTACCGTACCAATTTACACTAAAATTAGGAAATATTTTTGATATAGAGATAATACTTCAAACACTTTTATTTTTATTTTTCTAATACTTCAAATAAAATGTTCTACAATTTAATTTGCAAAAGGAAAAAGGTTATATTGCGAGCTAACTAACCCGCACCTCTGTGCCACACACAGGCCTACAGTATAGGCCTATCTATAGTATGATTAATAAAATTAGATGTTGCATTTTATTATCAATTGCATGGTATATTAGAACAGTTTTAAAAATCTTGTTTATATTCAAATGTGCATTTTTTAAATAAATTCAGCTTTGTTTGTATACTTTAGTTGATAAAGATGTAAATATCCCTACAAAATTCTTTTCCAATCTAGGCCTAATTAATAATTTTAGAAAATGGCCATTTATTTATTTTAAGTCCCTCTGTCATTTAATTTTATAAATGCAGACCCCCCCCCCCCCCCCCAAAAAAAAAAAAAAAAATACACACACTTTATTTTTTCAGCTTGCACAACTGGAAAAAAGTTTACTTATATAAATCCACCCCAATGTAAGCAATTATTTCATAGTCTTTTTGATCTAGGCTTTGTTGAGAAATTAAATTAGCTTCAGTAGATATAACAATTATATATAAGGAAAAAGAAAACACTATTAGTATTAAATAAAAAAGGAATTATTACTTTAGTTATCAATGAAAAGGAATTTTTGTTCTAAAATAGATGCTTCCAGGAATCCTGTACATTAAAAGATTTACAAGAGTTGATAAAGGCAACTTCATCCTTGATATCTGATATTTCAATGTTGGCCACACCAATTTGATTTCCTGTTCTTCGGGCTTCGATATAAAAATAAATAGCTAATTAAATCATGTGAAAGATGTTTTGTTTAAAAATTTGGAACTATAAGCTTTTGAACTGAACAACCAAGTACTTTTGGTGTTTAAATAGATGTATGTATTTTTCCAGAAGAACCAAATAAATAAATATAATGAACGTCCATTTGTATAGCGCCAAAACTCTGCAAAAATTGTGTTCATAGTGCTTGACAAAACATACCTACACGAAGTCTTTAGCTCTAAGTTATAACTTGTTTGAAACAGATGAGTTTTTAAAAATTGTAAGGCACTACATTTATCTCATCATGTTGTTTATATGAATATATGATAACGGTATCCAATATCATTCATGTCATTAACATTTAACTTGTTTGCATACTTGACAAATTAGCCTATAGATCTAGTCAAATTTTTTTGCAGAATTACTTCGTGTAACGGGGGTAAAATATTTACATGCAGTAATTAACAAGACTGTTTTGTTAGGTTTTTTTTAAAAAAAAAAAAAATTAAAACACGTTATCCAAGCAAGAACCAAAATATATTTCTTTATGTCCTAAATTAAAATAATACAATAACAATAGACATAAATTTGAAGGGGAATTATGTAAGATTTAGATAAAGAGCTGGTCGTTCTCGCTATTAACTATAATATTTCAAAAATAGGTAATGCAAATTGAATATATTGAAAATTTACCACCATACCGTTCTAATCTATTTAAAATCTGAGCAATCAGATGGCATCAAGAGTTGATTGTAGGTTATATTTTTAATGATTAATTTAATTACATGGAACAGTAAACCCATATCCTTAAATATCGACCGGCAGCTATTTTTAAATATTAATTTTTCTCCAGAACCGTGTTATTTCCTGAAAAGCCATACATCTCAGCATTGTAACAAAACCAACATTATCAATATCGGAGCAAAATTGACTGAATTCTGTAACACCAACTGGCAGATCCCTTTTTCGCGAAAATTGGTCATTTGGCTTCAATTACAACCTATTTAACCATCAACATAACCATACAAACACATTACACATAGCTTGAATGGTTTGAAATACATATGTTTGAAATACATAAAATTAAATAATTATGCTTTATTCAACTATACAAAATTAAAATCAATAATGATATAATACAATCAAACAATTGAAACCAAATCCCTTGTTGAGTATTAAAATAAAAAAAATAAAATAATGAAAATAATAATATCCCCCCCCCCCCCCAAAAAAAAAAATGAAATAAAAAAAAATAAAATATTTATAAATAAATAGATACATAAAATAAAATACTTTATCAATAGGCCTATATTAGTGTCTAGTGTCTCCATATTTATACCCCCCCCCCCCCCACACACAATATGAAAAGAAGTAAATAACATAAATAAAACATACAATTATTTATCAGTATCACAATAAATCAACATGAAATATATTTGCTTCACAAGCTGGCACTCCCCTAGGCCCCTAGGTAGCAAACAAAAGACAGGTAGCAGGCAGTACAGTACAGTTCTGCTGAAAATACAAAAGATTTTTAAAAAATTGTGTAATTAAAAGCTTATATATAAGCAGCACAGCAATGTTATTATTCATACCAAACTGTATTTTATATATTTACGATTTATTACTGATCTGCAAGTATTATTTTACAAATTAATGAATTGAAAACTCTATTTTGCCGATTTTTAAAAGTAGGTCAAAGCTGTCAAACTTTGCCTTAACTGGGCAACACACGTGTCGAGATTTTCATGAAATGTAATACTTATTTATAATATAGAGCGAAGCTCTACAGCATCGCGCGAAGCGCGGTGCTTGAGCAAAGCTCTTTTCCGGTAACACAGGAGCGTAACTGAAATTGTCACCCACAGACTGTTGATTAAAAAAAAAATCAGACCGGAACCGGATACACTGGGCAAAACAGGCAATGCGCATGTCAACTTACCAAATCTCGCCCAAGCGAGATTACGCGCCTCATACAACTATTTCTATGACGCGTCTAATCAATGACGTCACATATTTTTGACGTCAATGAAAATAATTCTCACACTTTTTTGTTCTTTTTTAAAAAACAAAATTAATGTATACAATTTAGATCTAAATGAAAATCAATTTGGAAAAACTAAATTATTTAACATTTTTTGTATCACTTGAGAAAATTAATTATGAAGGTTTTATATTTGACAATAATCAGCTTCGCTCTACTCGGGCAATGCCTGTTACATATTACAATATAATATCAAAATTATAAGATATTCATTTTTATTCTTACCTCGAACATTCCTTCTATTTCTCGTTTCCATTTAACCAGATGATGCCACATTTAAACTACAAGAAAGCGCTAAATAAAAATATCGCTACTGGGCCTATAGTAAACAAACAGCGAGAACAGAAGACCGGAAGTGATCAACCACCTTTCTCGCCGTTTCACGCGTTTCGCAACATAACGTCGAGAATTCATGAGTCGGCAATCATACGGTATTATCTATGATGGCATCCGTCAAGCACAATCTACTGAGAAATATCTTTCTCTAGGTTTAGGGTTCGGGTTAGGTTTATGAATTACATGTCAAACGTACAAATTGAAGCTGTAACAACGGTGGATTGTGGCTAAAACTATTCTGAAGGGTTAGGGTTAGAATTGTGGGTATAAATTAATATACACGGAAAGATATTTCTCAGATCGGGAAAATCTACTACACTAGTAGTACTAGGGCCTACTAGTACTACTTTATCGTGCCCTCGCGTATTATCTATGGTTAGATGAGGGGACGTATTTTTTAACAGAGTGTTGTGCCGATCATACTGGTTCTAGGAGGTAAGCAAGGTCTTATTTTCTCACTAACACTAGGGACCGGGTATCATTCAGATTTGATGAAAAAAGGAAAGAAACTGAGCTTACCATCTATAATCTAATACACATATTATATTCAGTTAATAGATTGCCATGCAGAAAGTATTAAATACCATCAAGATCAAGATTCATCAATTAATGCCCAGTTTGTGCTACCGTTTAGTTTAAGAAACACCATTTAGTTTTGACATCGGTCATCTAGTTTATGACCATTTTAGTTTAGTTTTGATATTGGTCATCCATTTTATGACCATTTAGTTTCATAAACTAGACAACCGATGTCAAACTAAATGGTAGCACAAACGATTCCCTGACAACTCATCCCAAAGACAACTCATCCCAGACAACTCATCCCAATAAAAGACAACTCATCCCACTTTTAAAGACAACTCATCCCAAGTCAAAAGACAACTCATCCCAAGTCAAAAGACAACTCATCCCAAGTCAAAAGACAACTCATCCCAAGTCAAAAGACAATTCATCCCAACTTTTAAAACACCCGACTCATTCCAAGTTACAAATAAATACCACAAATAATCACAAATATATGAATTTATTACATCAACAATTTATTAAATTATACATTTATGTATGAATTTATTACATCGACAATTTATTAAATTATACATTTATGTATGAATTTATCACATCAACAATTTATTAAATAATACATTTATGTATGAATTTATTACATCAACAATTTATTAAATAATACATTTTATTATAACCTCAATATCATCAACTAATACATTTTATTAGGCCAGTCATTTAGTAATTTAGTCTGCCAGTTTGTCGTTCAGTCAGTCATTTATTACGTAAGTCTGTCCTTCAGTTCGGTCCATATATCCCCCCACATCTTTTTAGTAGCTGGTTGGTGCGTATTTCCTGACTGGTATATAAATTCCAAAGTTGAAATAACTTGCTTTGTGTAGTTCGTGATTGTTTTTTCTGGTGTCTTCTTAATTTTCCTTCTGAGACCATTTTCATTTGTGTCGGTAGCTGCGCTGCTTCTTTATACAACAAAGATATCAGTAGATAAAACTGTAAATTCCCTTTTCTGGCCTTTTGGTTGATTCGATTATGCCATCCCTCGACATCATTATTGGTTCGGATTGTCCTGCCAAACACGCTCCATGTTGGGATGGTCCATATATTACTGGTCAGCCAATTATCCATTATGTATTTCATAACCACTTTAATTTGATCGGTTGTGGCCTTTTCTTCTAATTTATTGAATGTTGGCAATATATGTTCAGCGGGTAGGAATGGCAAGGCAAGGACTTTTCTAAAAAACTTATATACAGCATCTTTCTGGCTGTAAGCAGTCTACAAAAAAAACATAGACTAATTGTGAGTAATACCAGACAGTTGTGAATAATATCAAATAATAATATCGTTTTCAAATACTCAATTATTTCAAAAGTAACATACCTGAAGTCCGTTTTCTTGGATCTTTCTCCAAACCGCCTGACCCCAATGGAACGCACAGCCATGTATAATTGGGTTGTCGAAAACTGACCTTAAAGCCTCCCAGATGACTGCCTCAAAATCTGCAACAAAAGCCTGCACTGCAGGGGCTGATGGTGTCATATCCATGATGGCCTTGAATACCTGTGAAGATTAAATAAAATTGTTAAAATGTCTTTGTTTGTAGTCAGTAATATGTCTTTTTTTACCGCTGACCTAGTAATAAGTCTTTTTTTTACTGCTGACCTTAATAATATTTCTTAAAATATTTACATACCTTCTTGTAGTCTCTTTTAGACTTTCCTGACATCAGTACAAACGCCAAGGGAACTTGCTTGATACTTTCACCAGATTTTAAAAAAATATGGATTGACAATAGCTGGTAAAATGGTTTGTTTACTATTCTAAAAGTACCATCTATATACCATGTCTTAGCTTTTCCAAGAAGTTCAATTTGCTTCTCTGTGGCAAAAAGTAGGTGTCGGCCATCTTTTGTGTGTATGTCTTTCTGTAAAAACACCTCCGGAATAGCTGTTGCCAAAAACTCTTCATTGATCTAGAAAATAATGGTGTAATTATTATTATTGCTTATTATATTGAATATTTCTTATTATACTGATGTCATTATTCAGTTACTATGAAAACTGATGGTAATATTTACATAATATTATGATATTTGTCTTTGATGTGCTTCACCAATTTAATTAGTTTGTAATAGGGGTAAATACTACAACTCAGTTTAGTTAATCGTTGTTTTGTTAATTGATTTTGTTTGAAGTGCTTCATGATGAAAGAATAAAACAAACACATCTACCAATGTGTTAAAACAACAAAGTACTAAAACAGTAATACAAACAGTAATCATCAATTTATTACAACAACAATATCAATTTGAATAAAACAAAGAGTAATCACCAATTTGATTAAAACAACAATATCAATTTGATTAAGATAACAAATTCTGATTGGTTATGGTCTGAGTGGTCTTCAAAGATAGCAATTGTATTGAAACAAATATCACTTATAAGTTATATAAAGTTGGTTTAAAGTTGGGATGAGTTGTCTTTTATAGTGGGATGAGTTGTCTTCTAACTTGGGATGAGTTGTCTTCTAACTTGGGATGAGTTGTCTTCTAACTTGGGATGAGTTGTCTTGGGATGAATTGTCTTTGGGATGAGTTGTCTGGATACCGCACAAACTGGGTGGTTTTTGATGAATCTTGATGGTATTTAACACTTTCTGCATGGCAATCTATTAACTGAATATGTGTATTTGATTATAGATGGTAAGCTCAGTTTCTTTCCTTTTTTCATCAAATCTGAATGATACCAGGTCCCTAGTGATGTTCAGTTACATTGTTCAGGCGTTCACAGGGACTGACACCCTACCGTTTAGCAGTAAAAAGTTGCTCAGTCAAATTGACTGAAGGTCCGGTCGGACAAAAAACGAAAAAAATAATTTTGTCCAATTCGTCTAAAAAAAATCTTTTTCTGCTGAACATTGTCATTATATATATTGGGGGGGGGGGGGGGGGTGGGGGTAGCCTATTGGATCGACCATGGAGTGATGATGATCCTGTTGTATGTTTAAAGGGCCGCCACGCCATCACTGGAGTCTGGAATGGGCTGGTATAATAGACTTTCTGGGCCGGGTTAGTTACTTTAGTAACGTAAATTGTATCAGCTCTGCCTGCTAGTGCTACTACGTTACTGTCAGCTCCTAATGACAACTAGTATGAAAATAAGGCTTTTCCCCTATCTCGGTTCTAAGGCATTTTTTGGAATCCTTACCGTCTATTTTTCACAGTGATTCTTCTTTGGTCGCTAAAAGGAACCATTTCTTGCCACATCCGACACAAATTTACAAAAATCCAACTCTATTTTCATGTAGAATTGTGTGATACAAAAACATAAACAACTTTCATTTGAATTGGGCCGCCATTTACAAACTAACGCTCAGCCAATAATCCAAACTTAGGAATGGAATTTTACCGTAATATTCCTACTTATTCAATATTCCTAACTGGTTAATCAAATGGTCAAAATTTTCTTAACTAGTCCCATTTTTTAACCAGTTAAATTCTCTTGACTCTGGATCGAAACTTCATTGATTATGGCCCCTGTTTGTACGAAAAATCACGTTTTTAGCTTGTGGACCCTATAGAGGTCACAATTTTTATCCGATTTTGTTGAAACTTGAAATGTAAGTTTATGGCCCCTGATTGTTTGAAAAATCGCGTTTTTAGCTTGTGGACCCTATAGAGGTCATAATTTTTATCCAATTTAAAAAAACGTATTATTATATCACCGTTACACCCTAAGGACGACTGAGTTAGAATTTCATGAAAATCGGCCCAAAATTGACAGACAAAATGGCCGCCGTTCGTTCTCAAATAGCGTAAAAATATGGTATATCAAGGTTGTGGACCCTATAGAGGTCACAAATTTTTATCCGATTTTGTTGAAACTTGAAATGTAAGTTTATAACCCAAAGATCTCGGTTTCTTTCGATATTCGCACATATCGGAACGTAACTTCCTGAATTATGGCCCCTGATTGTACGAAAAATCGCTTTTTTAGCTTGTGGACCCGATATAGGTCATAATTTTTATCCGATTTAAAAAATCGTAGTATTATGTCACCGTTACACCGTAAGGACGGCTGAGTTCAAATTTCGTGAAAATGGGCCCAAAACTGACAGACAGAATGGCCGCCGTTTATTCTCAAATAGCGTAAAAATATGGTATATCAAGGTTGTGGACCCTATAGAGGTCACAATTTTAATCCGATTTTGTTGAAACTTGAAATATAAGTTTATAACCTAAAGATCTCAGTTCCTATTGATATTCGCGCATATCGGACCGTAACTTCCTCAATTATGGCCCCTGATTGTACGAAAAATCGCGTTTTTAGCTTGTGGACCCTATAGAGGTCATAATTTTTATTTGATTTAAAAAAAACGTTTTAGTATATCACCTTTCCACCCTAAGGACAGCTGCGTTCGGATTTCGTGAAAATTGGCCCAAAATTTACAGACAAAATGGCCGCCGTCGTTTTTAGATAGCAAAAAAATATGGTATATCAAGGCTGTGGACCCCATAAAGGTCACAATTTTTATCCGATTTTCTTGAAACTTGAAATGTAAGTTTATAACCCAAAGATCTCGGTTCCTTTCGATGTTTGCGCATATCGAATTGTAATTTCCTCAATTATGACCCTTGATTGTAGGAAAAATCACTTTCTTTTTAGCTTGTTTTCTATCCATCTCTCGAAAATGTGGGCGTATCCTGCCTGGCAGCCGCTGGTTTCCATTAAAATATAAACCCACACCCACGTCATACTCCTTGCAGTGTTTCATTTGATTAGCGCTTATCCCACTTAACACTGTTGCAATGGATGCAAATTCCTGTTCCAAATTATGACTGGTCAATGGTCTGATTAACAACCAATAGCTAATTGTGTAACAATATCATTACGCTTTAAACAGAGCTCCAAACT